TATTAGGGTGGTATCGTCTGCATATCTGAGATTGTTGATATTTCTCCCTACAATCTTAATTCCGGCTTGTGATTCTTCCAGCCTCATGATGTACTCTGCATAGAAGTAAACAGGGTGACAGTATACAGCCTTGTCGTACTCTTTTCCCTATTTTGAATCAATTGGTTGTTCCATGACTGGTTCTGTTGTTTCTTGGCCCGCGTACACATTTCTCAGAAGACAGGTAAGGTGATCTGGTACCCCCATCTCTTTAAGAATTTGCCACAGTTTGTTGTGATCCACACAATCAAAGGCTTTTGCATAGTCAATGAAGCAGAAGTAGATGTTTTTCTGGAGTTCTCGTGCTTTGTCCATGATCCAGCGAATGTTGGCAGTTTGATTTCTACTTCCTCTGCCTCTTCAAAACTCAGCTTGTACATCTGGTAGTTCTTGGTTCATGTACTGCTGAAGCCTAGCTTGTAGAATTTTGAGCATGACCTTGCTAGCATGTGAAATCAATTGTGGAGTAATTTGAGCATTCTTTGGCATTGCCCTTCTTCCCAATTCATTTTTCAACCACCTCTTCAGATTTAGTATCTTTTGATTCTGCGTTTGTTGTTTATGTAGCTGGAATATTAATATTATCCAAATGTATGTCTCTCCATTCTTGATTTGGTTCCTTTATGCCATTTTAAACTTTGACTCAGAGAATTATAAGCAAAGATGTATCAATTAGTGAAAAGAAATGGGGAGGTTCCTGTTAAAGTATTCCTCTAGTACAATTTATGTAATATGCCTATTTTTATTTAAAGAGCTGGATGTAAATTTCACCTATTTTGCCATGTTTCTCCTCCCCTCCTTTGAAGAATGCATGTGCAAAGCCACTCCTTAGTTCAGAAAAAATAACAATCCCAAATACACAAGAATTGGCTGGGATTGCTGACTCTCCACTCCCAAATACATACAATATTATTAACTTTATTACTTTTTATGGTCCAAGTTTGAATTGGAACCATGAATAGGCTGGGGATGAAATACATCTCAAATTATTATACATTATCATTTTGGTACTCTATATCATTCCTCCTTCCTTTTAATCTGACTGTCATGGCTCTATTCTAAAAAGAATAGAAAGGCAGCATAAAGCAATTAATTATCTCAAATTAACTTGAAGAAATCAGTCAGGTGCAGTTGTTATTTGCATGGTATGTTCAATAGAAAAAGCCCTGGTGCTGAAGAGTTTGATTATTAATGGTTCTCAAATTGTGGGAAAAGAACACTTATAAGTCCTTGCCTTTAAATTATTTCATAGGCACTGATTAATTTCTGGTTACTTTTTCATTCCTGTGTTAACATTCCTCACTGACTGTTATTTATATAATTATTTTAATGACTGGGATTATGTGCATAATAGCAATACACTGTACGTTGTGGGAAAATGTGCATTCGTTATAGAGGTAATGTTTTTGTAGCATTTTTTTTCACATTGAATCACATTCTAGATCCAGAGAGTGAGTATAAAACCTGCATCTCTTACAGGTGGGCTTTCAACTGAGAAAGTCTTGATGGCCCAAGATAATGGAAATGAATACATTCCAAGACATTCAAATACTGTATTGCAGAAGGCAAAATCCCGAGGGACAGTGGATGTCTAGGTGAGAAGTTGAGCAAAACTGTTAATTCAAAAAGTGGTATTTCCTTTTGCCTAGATTAATAGTCAACTTGCATTGGTATATGTATAGTCAGGGCTCCAAACCAGTTCTAAAAGGCATATTCCATGATGTCAGAAGCTATAATCTGCAGTCCAGATCAGTTTGCAAATTTGATATGCTAAGACAAATATACAACACTTTAAAACAATTCTGGGCCAACGATTTCTGTAGTTCTGACACTTTCTGTTCTTTATATAGGTAATGGGAGAACAAAGAAAGAAGTGATGTATCTTGCCAGTGTAACAGCTGCACACAGCGCTTCACACCAGGCCTGCCAACATGCTTGTAAGACTCAAGAGGAGTTGCAGGTAAACCAATCGCTCTTCAGACATCAACGTAGGAGAGCTAATGTAGCAGCCTTGGGAAATTTCAACAATGTGCTGGGTATGTTAGAGGTAACCCCAGCTCCCAGATCAACCTACCACATGCCAGAGAAGCCATTCCATTGCACTGATTGTGGGAGGAGCTTCTCGCAGAGTTCCAACCTGATCGAACACCAGAGAATCCACACAGGGGAACGCCCCTTCACATGTAGCGAGTGCCAAAAGAGCTTCAGCCGCAGCAGCACCCTGGTTGAACACCAGCGGACACACACAGGCGAGAAGCCGTACACGTGCAAGGAGTGTGGGCGGGGCTTTAGTCGCAGCTCTACCCTCACAGAGCACCAACGCACCCACACAGGAGAGACCCCCTTCCCCTGCCAGGAGTGCGGAAAGGCCTTCAGCCGTACTTCCAACCTGGTGAAGCATTTGCGCACCCACTCGGGTGAGAAACCATACACCTGCACCCTCTGTGGGAAGCGCTTCTCCCTTAGTTCCAACCTTCTTAAGCACGAGCGCACCCACTCAGGGGAGAAGCCTTTCCTTTGCCCTCTCTGTGGGAAACGCTTCAAGAAGAAGACCCACCTCGTGTCCCACCACCGTGTGCACACTGGGGAGCGGCCCTACCGGTGTGAGGAATGTGGGAAATGTTTCTCGCAAAGCTCCATCCTGATCGAGCATCAGAGGATTCACACTGGGGAGAAGCCCTACAAATGTGCAGACTGTGGGAAGAGCTTCTGTGTGAGTTCAAACCTCATCAAGCACCAGAGGATCCACACAGGCGAAAAACCGTACACCTGCTTGGCCTGTGGGAAAGCCTTCCGTTACAAGCCTCAGTTCACCCGTCACCAGAAGCAGATGCACCCGGAAGGGGAGGAGCTGGAACCAGTTTCCACTCTTCTCTTGGGCAGAAACTCCTTCTGTGACACCAGTCTCTAAGAAAGCATAGAACAAGGGCACCTAGTGTTTTCTTTACAACTTGAGACTCTTTCATTCTCTTCCTGCCTCTGGATCCAGACTGAGTCAGATTCAGAGTCTTAAAAGTTTACTTTATTTCAAGAGGTCTCCTCTGACTAAATCTGGAGTCCACTTTATAGTTCTCATTACAGCTGTGCCCAAGTCCTTTGCATCTGCAGTTGGCTAATTTTAGTCTTGTGAAGGCAAAAATTACAGTAAAATCATCTTTGGAATCAAATCTCTTCTCCCTCAGCTTGGCAGATAGTGTACCTAGTCTGGGTTTTTTTCTTTTTCTTAAGACTGCAATGATCTTGTTCTTTACTTTCAGTCCTAACAGGGCAGGAGTAACCAGTCTTACGTCCCAGGACCCACATGCCCTTTTTTGTACACCATGGGATCTCGTTTAACTAATGGCTGAAAATCAGTGGGATGGTTTCCTTTCATTTTTGAGATGTGAAACACAAAACT